CCCTCTGTAACCATGCTCGAATGTGAGACACCAAGCGGGACTCTCGAGCTGCTCCTCCACTTTTGGTGAGCAAAGTGATTACTGAACTAGCATCACTTTCCAACACACAACGCCTCCAACCCCCAGCCCAAGCCATTTCCAGCCCTTTGAGCACTCCCCAAAGCTCAGCTACAAACGCTGAACAGTGTCCTATGTTATATGCAAAACCTTGAAGCCATCTTCCAGTTTCATCCCTAATTAGTCCCCCACAAGCAACATCTCCTCCCGAAATTTTAGCAGCCCCATCTGTATTGATTTTAACCAACCAACTTCTGGAGGATGCCACCCAACAGGAATATATGCCGGGTTCATCCTAACCTGACCAACATGGCTATGCATCCAAGCATTGGAAATTTCATTAACTTTCTGTTCTATTAGATGTATTCTTTTTCGATCTTGACTGGAGCATTGCATATATATATTTGATTGCAAATTATCATCTTGATTTATGTGAATTGTTTCCTGCACGTACATATATATATATATATATATATATATATATATATATATATATATATATATAGGAAAAGTGTGTATCATTTTAAAGGATATAAAGTTGTGTCATATTAAGTGAGAAAAAGATAGATAAATGGGAGAGAGATTGGACAAATAAAAATAAAAGTGTGGATCCCACCTCTTTATCATAGTGAAATGAAAAATGACAAACATTTTTCCATATATATATATATATATATATATATATATATATATATATATATATATATATATATATATGGAAAAAGTATTTCTACAGCTACTTTATATAAGGTTATCTACAGCTACCCCTTTTAACAAAGTACGACCGATCGTACTTAGTTATAACAATAAAGTTGCTCTTTTTTCTCTCTCCTCAGACACTGTCGGCTGACGTGGCGGTGAGAGAAAATGCACTTTTAATGTACGACTGGTCGTACTTAGCTAAAAAGGGATAGCTGTAGGCAATCTTATCTAAAGTTGCTGCAGAAATATTTTTTCATATATATATATAATTTTTGTCTTATCCATTAAAAAAAAAATCGAACTATAACTATTTTGCAGAAGATCACTTTTTGCACATGATATTTTCAGAAAAGATATTTATATTTTTATTGTTGATGGGAAGATTTTTATTATGTTTAATCTTCCAACAAAATACATTATTTACTATTGTTATTGTTTTCAGAAAAAGATTATTATGATTATTGCTGATGTTGTTGTTGATGGAAAATGCTATTGTGAAAATAAGTTTTTGGTCAATGGTGAAAAAAAGCATTACCACTTAAGTAAAGGTATTTTTTTTATTTGCTCAATTTTAATAATTGTGACTAATAATGAATGCATTAATTTTGAATTTTGGAAATACATCGGGGGTTACATTGTTTAAATATTGGTGACTACATTTAATATGCAATTATTTAAGAGCTTGATTGTTGAAGCATTTGTGTTCATCACAAGTTGTGTGGGTTAACCCCCTCTCTTTGATGAATTAGAAACGGGTCAACTCAAATCTAACTCACGTTGTGAAGAGAGTGTGCACTCAACTTTATGTCAAAATTCACAAAAAATTTAACAGCATGATCCTTGGAATATATGTGAATTGTTAGTATACTTTTTGCAATTTTTTCATTGCATTATATATTTTTAAGAAATTATTTTGTGTGTTTTTCTTTAATAACAAATTCACCAAATTTCAACAAAATTATTATTATAATATTTGTGAATTTTTGATATATTGTTTACAATTTTCCGGTGCATTATATATTTTTATGGAATTATTATGTTTTGTTCTATATTTAATTATGTAAAAATATATATATTCCCAAATTTCGAGAATATAAATTACTGAAAAATTATTTCAATTTTGTTTAGTGTCGTGACACGATTCATGGTTTGAATTCTGATTCAGTGTTCTTGTTTGGTGAATTGTTTTGGTTTCAACAAAATTGTTATGTAAACGTGAAGTTTTAGTTTCAATGAATTTGCAGACACTATAGTGTGAATTGTTTTTGCTTTTTGTGGAAATTTTCAAATTTTGAAAGTTTCAATTTTTTGGGAAACAATTATTAAAGTTTTGTGCATCTACTATTGCATGAATTTGGAGATCCCGCAATTGGGCCTAATTGTGGCTTTATCAGTGAATTAATTTCTGATTTCGCTTTAATGAGTGTATGTCTATTTTGTTTGGGCAATGTTTAAGCGAGATTAGTTGTTTCCGCAATTTGCTTGAGTTACATTACAGTTTGAATTGCTTATAAATATGGAAAGTGTTTTAATCAGAAAATAGCATGTTTTCAAAAGAGAAAAATTTATCCATGTTTTAATCAACTGTTGTGATTGTAACTACTCTTATTATCATACATGATGTTAATAAACCAGTTCTAGAACGGGGCGTTACATCACGCTTCCTATCTTCGTCTCCTTCCCTTTTACCTATTGCATCAACGATATGAGTTTTGCCATGCTTATCACCCCTTGCAGTCCAACCTCGGCTCTAATTCCCTTTTGCCTAGTAGCGATGCCATTCCCTTCTCGATCTTCTTCTTCTTCTTCTCCGTCTTCTTCATCTTGTTGCGCTTCTCCTTTTTCTTTTTCTTCTTTTTTCTCTTCTAGTGCTCCAGCTTCAGCCTTTTCTTCTTTCACTATTTCGATTTCTTCTTCTTCTTTTGCGCTTCCATCTTCTTGTTTTCCTTCTTCTGCAGCTGTTGCATTTTCATTCTTTTCTTCTTCAATTTTTTTAACCCTCTGCATCTTCATCTTCTATAATGCTTCATCCATGATTTTGACTACTTTTATCAACATTTCCTTGAGCTCTGAATTGTTGATTCCTCCCATGTCTTTCATTCTCTCAAGGGTTTGGACCAGAAGCACCCTTAGATCGGAAGTGCTCTGATTCCAAATTGATGGAATCAAAAAATTATATTAAAGTAAAATAGTGAAGACAAGCTCCTTACAAACACTAATTGCAGAAAAAATAAACCAAAAGCTCAGTCTTAGAACCAACACACCTAGGTACCAAGAGATCTCCAATTCCCCCAAATATTCAGTTAATTCATGTCTACCTCGCTCCACACACTTTCCCTCCTTATATCTTATTCTCTAAGAATATCCAAGAACAATTCTCTAACTAACTAACTAACTACTCTCTCACTCTCAGACCCATTAGAAACACATCGTTTTCATAATCTTTTTGACATACAAAAGTGATACCTTCTTAAAGGGGAAAGAGACATATCAGTGGACCAACACCACCTCTCATAAACCTCAAATTGTGATTCCCACTTTACTTTATTTGTGTTGGAAATCACTTTACTGCATCAACAAATAATATTTTCCTTATCTTTCTTGACAACTTCAACAAATTTTGAATGCTCCACACATGCCACACTCAGATTATTGCACCCCATATAAGAGATGGAAGCTTGAGGCACCCCAAATTGTCTCAGAAACTGTTAGGAACCAAATACTCTATTATGCCACAACATGTGAAACAACATTGCATACGTGTTACCGCTGAAACTACTTTCTCTTCATTGCTAAGCACAAGTAAGTTTCAGAGGTTGGTTAAACAGAACACAAAATAAATTAACAAATGCTGTCACAAGCAAGGCCTAGGAAAAAAGAATGGTAAAATAAAAAAGGGGAACAACTACTGTAACAAAGCTGCAGCTAATTTGTTTTCTCCATTGGATCTGTCCCCGGAATACCCTAAAAAGAGGAAACCTTTCCTCTCCCCAGCCATTTCATTTTGGCTTAAAGCAACATTGGGCAAAGGCATGCCATATTCATTACTAGAGCTTTATCATCAGTTATAATTTTAATGTTCACAAATAGTGGATATTATTATAAGAACTGCAATAAAGAAGAATGCCACACTGTTTGTTTCAACCAAATTATTAAAAATTTCATATTTGTCGATAGGATGTATATAACAAAAGAAGTCCATGCAGTTCGAAAGGAAGTACAACTTTAAAAAAAACAAGGGCAATAGGTAGCTAATAATTACATCCAAGAGCAGATGACTGAACCTAAATAGAACACAACGAGATAGAGATTGCAGAAATTTTCTTGCAAATCTTTACAACTTATGATACACTATCATCCTATTAAATCTATTTACGGGAGGCAAAGGCCTAATGGAGTATACAAAACACTAGATGTGACAGATAGAGTGTTTGACATCTACCAGTCTTTCCCAGCATGTGACTTAATTACATGATATCAAGATAGATAATTTCTCAAATTAACATAATTCAGGACTGAGAACAAAATAGCCAATACTATTCAAAGATAAAAAAGGTTTTATCTTGAAAGGGAGCCCTAAAAATAAACTTGCCATTTTGATTTCACTATGCTTAAAATTAAGTTTCCATGAATGAAGTTAAGCCTCCAAAATAAGTTGCCATTTTGATTCCCCATAACAGTACACACTAACAAGATATAGTGACAATATTTTAAGTTGAAGGAGTTATATCATAAATATGTACGACATCCAAACATAATTCACTTATTAAAGAATGGTAATGGCAGCACAAACCAAACGAAATTTGATTCTATTAGATAAACTTTGGTTATTGATCCCCTCTGCAAGCTCTAAGAAATAATAGGGGCTTTCCACTCAGGTATCCTATATAGCTTATGAAGGTTTTTAAGTATTAACGTTCCTCTCACATGTCATATTTGTTTAAAATGGATGGCAAAAATCATTTGTAGTTCGGTGATAACAGCACAAACCACTGGGATGGAACAATTTTTTCCCATAATAGATAAAATATTTAAACAAAAAGGAAGTCATCAAGATAAAATTCATCAGAATTATCCCCGGCCTACAAAACATATGCACTCTTCGTTTAATGTGTTCTGTGGTATCAACAGAAATAATTAAACAAAGATAATGAAATTGAAAATCACATGTAAGTGGATCTAGATACTGATTATAAAATCAATATGCTACAAACATGACAAAAAGTTCCTCGACCCAAGAAAAATGTAACACAAAATGTTGACACAGAAAGTAAAAGTTGAAGAAACTCAAAGTTCAATTTAGCACTGAAAGAGAAGAGTTAGAAGTTAGGATAATAGCCTGCAAAAACCTTCAAAGACTATATTACATTCTGATGATCAATAAAACCTTTGTAGACATCTAGTAGGAGAGGCTCATCTTCCCGAAAATTGATAACAAATTTCTTCATAAAATTTTCCTCAGTTGGGCACATAAAGGAGCTGAAATGCAAATTACTCTCAACCAAACCTTTTGATTTCAAGATTTTAATTACTGAGAATCTGGGAGTGATCCTTTTCTCCAAGCTGTAGGCAAGAACCGGAGGATAGTCAGCAACATCTTCTGATGGACAACCCATATCCTTCACTAGGAAACTCATTTTTTGCGAAAATGTCTCCTCTGACAACTTCATAAAATTGGGAAATTTTCTAAATGCTCCAAGAGTCATTTCACGGTTCCAGCCCCATCTCTCATAAACCTCAAATCTCGATTCCCACGTTGCTTTTCTCATACCTAAAATCACTTGGACAGCCATGACAAAAGTTGTTTGCAAAGGATTACACCCAATTTCCTTAACTGTCTTGACAGCTTCCACAAATTTGGAATGCTTTGCATATGCTGCACTTGGAAAATTGACCATAAGCAGAGAGATGGAAGCTTGTGGCACACTGCATTGTCTCAAAACCTTAATGTTTGGAATCAAATCATTCATTATGTCAGAAGCTATAAAATTAATTCGGGAATTTTTCAAAGCTCTAACAACTTCCTGATCATCACTAATCACACTTCTGAGAGTCTCATAACGAGGGATAAGGCAATTCTCCAAGCTCCTCGCCAAGAGAAGGTAGTTAGCAATTAGGATCTTTGGCATGTCTCTGGTGGAAACCCCAATAGAACAGAAGAATTTGAGTTTAGGCAAAAGGGTAGTCTGTACTCTTGCAACAAGCACCAATGGATGTTTCTCCACAAGTTTTGCAATCTGAGCTTTAGAGAACCCATAGTTCCTGAGAAGATCAAGAACAACATTTGGGCCATCTGGGTTTTTCAAATTCACTCTTTTGGAGAGCTTCTTAGCCAAATGTGGGGACAACCCACATGAGTTTATGAGGTAAGATATGGTAAAGGTGTCACCTTTGTGATGGTTTCTATCTGATTCACAATCAGAAGAGGTGCGTGAAGTGACGAAGAAAGAAAGGAAAGCATTGTGTTGAAGCAGAGAACCCAAATGAGTTTGGGTAGTCTTGCAGTATGTGAATGATGAAGCAATTAATCTTGAAATGAGAAAATTAGGTGTCATTTACTCACTCACCGATGTCAATGCACAATGCACGTTGTTGAGCGCTGCACTATTTGAACCTTAGAACAGCTAATTTTAGGGCTAAGGAGGAATTGGGGGAAACAATGTAAAAGATGGATTCAGCAACTCTGCGTTTTCGCCAATTGCCACCACAATGCATATTTTGAGTGTACTTCTTCAACCCATTCAATGATTATAATTTTATATGGGAATAATATCCGTAGCTTATATCATTTTATTTTATTTTTTAAATAGCTTATATCATTTTAGATAAGTTCATTTTCGTTTATCAACAGTTATAATTATTGGATCAAAATTATTAATTAATTAATGATAAATTTGGCCCATTAAGTTTGACCCAATAAATTATAACCGTTGATATACAAAAATCAACGGTTAGGATCTAAAATAATATAAGCTTATATCTTTTAAAAGAATAGATGTTTTTCCCATTTTATATTTTATAAAAGTTTAGAAAAACTAGTTTTATGTTAGCGGAGATTAATTATCTTTATAGTTAATACATCGATTTATGTTTTTCTATTTTATTTTTTATTTTTTTTGGGAATACTACTCAAGTTACATGAGAGTAGTTCTCTTATGTTACAGAGAGAAGTTAAGTGAGTCCACTATTAAAAAGCAAAAAAAGAAAATAAAAAAGAGAGGGTGTGATTTTCGAGGTGAGAAAACATGAGATAACTATTTCATATAAGCTTTAATGTTTCTACGGTAAAAGTAGATAAGTTATCTACATTCACTCCTAAAACGACGTCGTTTTGGGTTAAAAAATTATAATAAAAAAAACTATTATAACCCTGAAATAAATTATAATTACAAAAATACTTTGAATTCCATACTAAAACAACATCGTTTTGGGCTCAATGTAGATAACTTATCTACATTGACTGAAAAAAATGAACCCTTCATATAAAATGAGAATAGTATTTCCTTTTTTTTTTAAATAATGGATGAGCCCCATATATAATTTTGTATGTGGAGACACCTTATCTCCTATTGTATAAGATTAAGAGTAAATACCATTTTTAGTCCTCATCAAATTTTACTATGTCCGCTTTAGTCCCTAGCAAATAAAAATGTTATTCGTGGTCCCTAAAAAATTCAAAGTGGATCCATTTTAGTCCTTTTGAGGGACTAATATTGATCTTTTTTGAATTTATGAGAGACCACAGTTTTAACTAAATGAGTCCATTTTGAATTTCTTAGGGACCACAAATAGTCTTTTTATTTGCTAGGGACTAAAGCGGGTATCGTGAAATTTGTTAAGGACCAAAAAGAGTATTTACTCTAAGATTAACAAAGCCCAAAATAGTGAAATCCAAAGTAGAGAAGGAGCTTATATTTTATTTTATTTTAAAAATATTCTAATTGGTTCATTGCATTTTCGAAAACTAATCTGATTCAAGGCAAGTTCCATGATTAAGTTTTTAAACCCTTCTCAAAGACGGTACTTGGGAAGATCAAACATATGCTATCATCTTCATCTGCTCAGTTTTCTGGCGCCAACTGAACTACCATCATTTAATAAAGGATGAGTTTATATGAGATAAATATTATATGTCTAAGCTCTTAGTTTTAATTTTTTTTATAGGTAAAAATTTAGTCAAATATAATTTTACAAAAACTCTTATTATAGAAAGAGATTTTTAAGATGTATATCAACTTTTGCAGTTCTCATATCTATTTTTCAATTATACATTTATTCTAAATTTTTATTTAAAAATCTTATTATGTATCCTAATTATTTATTCTAATAATAGATTTTTTCATCTTTTTCCTTCAAAAATCTAAAAACAACTTTATAAAATTATCAAGCAACTTTAAATTTATTTTTTAAACTCTTTTTTTAATTTTAACTTAAAAATAACTTTTTTAAGAAAAAATATACCATACAGGCTCTATATCCATTTATAGTTCTTAATTTTGTTTATGTTTAATAACTCTAATTTATTATTCACGTGATCAATTAAATATAAATGAGATTAAAGGCTTATAATGAATGTACAACTTATACAGTATAAGTTAATCCTTTCCCAAATTTTATGTTAATCAATTATTTTAATTTAAAAATATATACACATATATGTGATACACAAATTATAGAGTCTAAGCCTATAAAAAAAATTCTGATAAAAAATGCTTTCTCTATTAATGTTTTATACTCAATATCACGTGTTTAAAAATTTATTATAAGGGATTGTTTTTTCTAAAGTTACTTTAGATAATTTTATCTAATGTTCACCGAAACGACGTCGTTTTGGAGCAGAAATCATGGTGTATTTGTAATTTTAATTTATTTCAGGGTTATAATAGTCTTTACCATTCTAATTTTTTGATTTTTCAATCCCAAAACGACGTCGTTTTGGTGAACATTAGACAAAATTGTCTAAATTAACGTTAGAAACTTTTTTCAGTTATTATAAACTAGCATAATGAATAAGTCTGATAAAGGATATTCACATGATTTTTACATGGGTTTTAGCGTGTCCTTCAGCAAGTGGTTGGACACTCCCGCATTATATAAGTGGCGAACATTTATATTAGGGGTTTGCATTCATCCTGTCACATAAAAAAGAAAGAGTTTTCTACAAATATAACATTTTGTGAGGCCCACATTTTTTGAAGCAAAAAAAAAAAGACTAAAGCACGAAAAATGAATCTCTACGACATGACAACAATTTTCCTACAACATAACTTTTATAAAACCCTTTATATTATGGTAGGGTTAGCTTTCTCAAATGAAATTTTTTTCATTCACAAAAACTTTAATCCAAGACCTTACTTAAATGAAATCAACTTTTTTTTTTTTTGTACAATACGAGGCATTCACAAATAAACTTTAAAGCTAAGTGAGTTTTCAAGTAAAATAAAGGATCAGATATAAGTAGATAATTTAAGATTCTCAAGATATATCTCTTAACTTAAATATAGAGTGAGGCTTTCAGAGTCTATGATAAGAGTAAGGTAATATCAAGCAATAGATCAATTGGTTAGGGTTTTTTCAGCTTAATAAATTATTTCAAATTTGAGTTCTAAGTATATAATTATGTTAAAAACTTGATAAGGAGAGCTCCCGCTCTTGTAGTCCTATCTGGCTAAACCGGATTAGACGATTACTCAATAAATTGGTAGACAAATCTAAAAAAGGAAGGGAAAAAAAGGGAAAAAAGATGAGAGTAATGTATATGCTATTGGACTAGGTCGATACAAACATGCCAATTCAAGTTTCCCATCCAAGTAGTAGATCAATAGAACATGTTGAATAAATAATTACTAGTTAATAATTTAATTATAGCTTCTTCTTCTTTTTGTAGTGGCGCAGATAAAATTTGAATGGAATTGGTTGCACTAGTCCATTAAAGATATAACAATCCGCATATAATTTTGCTTGTATTTGAGGGGTGGCATAAAACTACTTGATAGTACCAAAGAGCTCCATATCAATCGATCATGGCAATCATTAGTTAGAGATAAAGGTAGGGGTACCTATAAAAATATTCTAAATACTCAAGTCAGCCTTAGAAGTGAAAGAAAGGGTAAGCTGTAACAAATAAAATTATAAATGAATATAATGAACATATATTATGGAATATCTCCATTAGTGTATTTAGATAGAGAGTGAGACCCTTAGCACCTAAAATAATGAGGTTTCAATATCTTGCACTAATACTAGTTCACTTTTGTATAGAAGAATAAGTAACTCACCAAATACAACGTACAAGATTTGGAATGTTTATCAAATCAGAACCTTTTTTCAAGTAAAACAAAAAACGGTTAATTACTAAATGTTGCATGTGTCCCATAGGAAGAGTGAGGGAGGGAGGGGGAGAACATAGCCAATATTTACTTGCAAACTGAATAAAGAATGTGTTTCTCTTGAATATTGCTTACTTGAGATGTATAAATCATACTAAAAAAGTATACACATTATAGCTTTCTGATTTCTAGTGAACAGAATTTACAAGCTCAAAATATGTGATGCTCATGGGTACAATATAATATTCATCTTGTAACCATTTTGGTTAACTTTTGGGGGCCTAGAAATGCTCTTCCATAAGCTGCAGGTAGTGATAAGAGCTTCTTAGCTTTTCCTACATAAGCCCTTTTTGTGAAGTTATTGTAGTCATTAGCTTCAATAGAGTCCAATATCTGCCTATACAACAACAAAGATGCCCATACTGGCCATCTGCTAGCTGAGTTGAGCTCTGAAACTCCCTTCTCTGCCTCATCAAAAAACATCCTTGCTCTTTGTATTTGTCCCTTCATGAAATTGCGCCACTTGTTGGTAACTTTCCCACTGAAAATGTCATCATCTGATAAGCCAGCCTGTGCCAATTCATCTTGTGGAAGATATACTCTTCCTCTTCTAGCACTATAATTATCAAGAACAAGAAGAAATTAGATAAAACATAATTTTGTGAAGTAAAACAACAACAATTTTGTTTAAATTGAAATTGAATACAATCCTAAGTCAAGTTGAATTTAGAGTGTAACTTTTTTCTTTGTGGAATATTAATGTAGTTGTTTTTATCCATTTCTTGGAATTGAGGTTTTCAAGTATGAAGTTTTAGTGTCATACTTAAATTACAAGGTGTAATTGTTACTTAGGTATTGTTTTTAGATTCAAATATAAAGGCATTGTTGTATTCAAAGAATCTTACTCTTCTCCAACGTCTCTGAGTATGTTGGTAAGTTGATTTGCAATGCCAAGTGCCAATGCAGCATTGTAGATGCTCTCTGTTGAAGCCTTTGATTCTGGTGCTATCCCCATTACTGGAACACTCATAAGGCCAACTGTCCCAGCAACATAGTAGCAGTAAAGGTAGAGTTCATCGAAGTTATTGTATCTTGACTTTCTCAGGTCTAACCTCATCCCTTCAATCATGTCCTTGAAGGGCTAATCAAACAAACAATTGAATGAAAATAGGATCAGTTATAGCACATAAAAACAAATAACCCCTATCATTCCTCAATAATTTATACATAATTGAATTCTAGGTACTCTAATTTTAAGGTCTGATAGTTCAGACACTAATCTCCTCGTGGAATACAGAATCCTTACTCACTACTCACAAATCACAATTGAGCCATTAGCAAGCAACTGAATTTCATTCAAGATTTTTATCTGAAGGGCTTGTATTTTCAGACAATGTCCTCACATGTTTGTGGCTATGAGCTCTATCATTTTCCTGGTTAACTAGTTTGAATTCTGATATATAAGATTTTTTTATTATTTTTTCATGTGATCTATAAAAATAAAAGAAGACGAGTTTGCACTAATGGTAAAGCTGCTCGTTTGTAACTAGAAGGTCGCAGATTTGAGAAACACCTCTTTGTAAATATGCAATGTGTATAAAGATTACTCTCACCACTACCCTCGCTCGTCGAAGTCTAATAGGAGTGATTTTTTATGTTATATCAAACAAGGAAAGGTTGAAAGTTAAATTTCAGGCTCCAGTGGGGAATGTGCTATACCTGTATATCAACTGGGTACTTTGAGACAGTATCTGAGAGGGCAGCATCATACATATCATAAGGGCGGCCTTCAAAAACATCAGTTAATCTTTGCTCCCACCTATCCAAGGCCTTGGGGGTTATATGTGAAGCATTAGGACCATCCACTAGCTCATCTGTTCTTCTGCACCACACTGCAATGCACAAAAATTAGTAGTCAATTTCAAAAAACAAAAAATTGAAGCACAATCCACATTAGAGAAGCTGTTGTGGAAGTCCATTTGAGGGTAATCACACATACCATAAATCGCCCAGATGGCTTTTCTGCGCTCTTGGGTCATCAGTTGGGTGCCTGAGATTTGCAGTTGAAGGAACCAATCAAATTCACAATAAGATACACTAAGAAACATTAAATAGACCAACAAAGTATTTTCACTAAAATTCGAAGGCGTATCTTATCAATTGGCCTTTTGACCCTTACCAGGAATAAAAAAAGTTCAATTCAATTACAGTAAAATTTTACAACAAAGTAAAGGCATTATTTAGGTATGGTGTTATGGGCAAAAGTGAGTAAAAGAGATCCCTCCATTATCTTAATTGAATATTCCTCTAGAATCTACCAAAAAGAAAGAGAAAAGTGTGAAACTTGAACTATGTGTTAGTTTAGAGCAATCAGTACAATGACTAACATTTCTTAACATGGAACTGATATAATAATGAACTTAAAAAAATGCAAAAAGATTCATTGGAACAAGAGAGAAAGAGCCTGGAAAGGCCAAAACAAGAGAGAGAGAGAGAGAGAGAGAGAGAGAGAGAGAGAGAGAGAGAGAGAGAGAGAGAGAGTACCCAGATAAAAAGTCTTGGCATACTCAGCACAAACTTCACCACACCGATCATAAGCAGCATTCAATAGATCCCCATTGGTGAAATCACCTTCAATGGGTTTGTCCAAATCCAAAGTTCTCTTTGTATCCCTTTTCTTCTCCTTAACAAGTGCTGCTTGCTTCAACACCACTTCATAGACCCTCTCTTCAGAGGATCTTGAAGGGTTTGCAACTGCACTTGAAAGACTTGCAAAACTGACTCCACTGCACACTCTAAACCTCCTCTGTGTTCTAACACCTCTTCCAGCAACACCCACCAAGGAGATAGCGTTCTCTTTGGGTCCACAACTCACCCAAAGAAGAACACCAGACATCTCAGGCACAACTCAATTTGCTTTTGATTCTGGCTCAGCTTTGGATGACTGTAAAAGTGAAGTAGCTTTAACTTTTGAGGATCTACTTGTGTTGGGAAAATTGATGAGCTTTGTGAGGCTGTTAGAAATATTTAGGACCTGCCCATTATTTCTCACTGTGAGGATATATAGAGAGCATTGTGATTGGGAGGCTTATTTGAAGCCAATCCCTTCTTGAGGAATATGCTCAGTTGTTACCTTAGCTAAACACTTGTAAATGTGTGGACAATGGCCTAGTAATCCTGAACTTGAGCAACTTGTTTGTTTTTATTGAACAACAGCCCCTTCTAAAAGGTTTTCTTTGTGGTCCAATCTTTTCTTTTGTTTGTATACTAGCACACATGCTATATGTCTTTGAGAATATTCACCATATATATATACTTTTTCTTTTTCTTTGAGAATGACTTGTTAAGCATTGTTTGTAGTCAATTTAGAGTTGTAAACTTTGATTTGTGTACTTGCCATAACCACGCATCTAAACTATGAGTTGAATCATGAAAGGGTATGTAATTATTTGGACTTTCAAATTTTGATTAATATTATTTCCATGATCTACTTTTTGTGTGCCGAGGTAAGTATATTTTTAACTCAAATTTCCAATTAATCACCAATAAATCATATTTGTTAATTGTTTTGACCTCTCGAAAGAAACAACAGTGGATTTTTATAATAATATACGAGAACTTCAGTCCAATATGCACGGGTTTTTTAATTACTTAGAACACCAACTAAAAGGTGGTTGGTTTGAGTGAAAAGAGAATAGATGCAGCCAATACTAGGAAGATTTGCATCCTAGATGAGATACCCTGTTAGATCTATGTATTATTATGGGGAAAAAAGGAGACAGCATCGAACATATGCATATGATAGAGATTTTAATAATTTGTCCACTGCAACTACAGTAACTGAAACCAACCTAATGAAACCTGAATTATGTGGTTGGCACACCTTTATACACCTAATGCATTTAAGTGGAGACTCATGTAAATTTAAACTATATTATTCAAATTTTATTTTGCTTTTTTCGGACCATGCATGAATTGAAGTGCAAAAAGTTGTTTGACTCGGCATATGTTGGCGTTATAAAAATGAATATTATTAAATTATGGCAGATCATTGACACTGTAAGGAACCAATTCAACTCAAAAGCTTAAGCTATTGGGTGAAGTTACATTAATGGTTTTATATATTTCAACACGCCCCCTCACACGAGAGTCCACTGGGCTTGAAGGGTGGACAATGCACAGTCCCACCTACCTGTGCGAACAAAGAAATTCCACTTGAAAGAAAGTGGGGGCGACGAGGATCGAACCCAGGACACGAGGCTCTGATACCATGTAAATAACCAATTCAACCCAAAAGCTTAAGTTATTGGGTGAGGTTACATTAATGGTTTTATATATCTCAACAGTCACCAAATTAAGGGATTATTAGTGTTAAGGTGTATTCTTCATTTAATGTTTTGGTGGATGAACATGCAAGGTATTTACTATGCATGACTATCCAAACAACCCCAATAAACGTGAAGATTTTGGAATGAAGATGAAGGTTTCCTCATGTATAAAGTGGGATGAGTTTCCTTTGTAAAAGGTTAGTTTATTAGCTAGTGTGTTTCCAATGTTCTAAATGTTTGAGAGAGTACATTTTTTAGAGAAGAAGTGAGTGTAGTCCATCCTCACTGGCTGAAGAAATCATGAGTGCCTCTAGTGTGATACTAAGGAAGAACTCTTGTAATCTCATTATTCATATAGTAAAAGATTTTTGTTGGACCACATCTTGTGAAAAGAGAGGTTTTTCACATTAAAATTGTTGTGGGTCATATTTTTCTCTCCATATCTCATGTTCTACATTTTTGAGTTTTGTATATTACGCGACATGCTGATAGGTTGACCTCCGAATTCCAAGTTCCATAACTCCACTTAAGACTTATTCGCTTTTGCAATGATATTTGATAAAGAGATGTACAAGCTAACAGCAGAAAACTTTACATATTGGAGACCAATGATGAAAGACCACCTATTTTTGCAAAGATTTATTTGAGTCCATCTTGAGTGCCATCATGCCTATAAGCAAATACGAGAGAGATTAAGAGATTCTCCATGAAAAGGTGGTGCCGTGATAAGGAAGTACATGGATAAAAACTCCATTAAGTACATCTTGCAATACACCAATGCATATAAGTTATGCACAAAGCTGGAGTCCATAATTAAGAATAAGACTCACAAGAACAAAGCACACTTGGTATGCCGAGTTATGAAACTGGAGTACAAGGACGCAGAGTATGATTGAACATTTGCACACATACAAAGGACTTGTAAACCATTTGTCAAATATTGAGATGAAGATTGACAATGAGTTCTATTCTCTTTTACTTCTCAGTTTGCTGCTAGAAAGCTAAGATATTTTGGTAGTAACATTAAGCAACTCGGCTCTTGGCGGAAGACATACAATGGATTCTATAGCTAATAGCTTCCTGAATGAAAAGTCCAAGAGAAAAAAATGGTGTGACCAGCGTGTCTGAAGCATGTGCGGCTGAGAAAAGGCATGGTCTGACTTTCGAGGGCGATCTAAAAGCCAAAATCGTTACATGTCAAGGGAAGGTAAAACCTTAACTGGTTAAAACTTCCATTGCTCGCAGATGAAAAGGAAGGTAAAACCATAATTGGTTAAAACTTCCAGTGCGCGAAGGAAATGTGAAAGCAAAATCGACATCAAAACTCATAACAAGCGACATCAAAGCAGAGAGCATGCAAAGTAAAAAGGTACACAAAAATATGAATGTTGAATTGTATAGAATGCAGGATACAACTATGAAGCTCTCAAACACCCATGCAAAGTACAGACCATAATGCAAAATAAAAGAACAGTGAAATGTGTAACACCCTGTGTATACCCGGTTTGTTAACATGTCATCGTATTAAGCCACGCTTAATTAAAAATGCAGAATATCTTTTTCTTTTCAATTATGACGTCATTATACTTAGCCAAGTTGATTACTTAATCAATTTCATAAAAACATCGCCTGTATGTAAATTGCAAAAGACAGCTAACTGAAATACCTCATAAATAAATAAGTGAGTATATAAGTCACGGATCTACAACACGTAGTCCGGACAATATCCAGATACATTAATACAACCCAAAACAAAAATCAGAAAGTCAAGTCAATGTGGCATGGACAATCCCCAATCTCACTGAATAAACGACATAACCAACAGAGTCTCAACAATAACATCAAATGAAGCTATAAGCATGATATCAACAGACATAAACCAGCATCCAAGTACAGTCAGCATAAGCAGGTAAACATCAATCAACTAAGCTCCGGCTTCCTGCCGCTAGAGGTCTTGTAAGAACCCGCACCGTTAATTAAGGTGTTTAATTAATAAATTATGAGAAATTAGGAAATGATTCCATAATTGACCCTAATAATTATTATGAGGCTTTAATAATTATAGTAAGTGAGTAAGAATGCTGAAAGTCGCTTTTCGGAAGAAAAGTGCAGATACCGGTTCTGCTAGTCGGTATAAATGCGTACCGAAAAAATATCCCGGAAAATTAATGTAAGTGCATGATAATTACTAGAATAATATGTAGGACTTATAAAACGAGTTTCAAGTCCAAATAATGAGGACTGGTGCTAGAAACCGGTACTGGCTTTGAAAAGCGCGTACCGGAAAGGAGCTCAGAAAATTATAAGAAAAATATGATAATTCTTGTAAAATTGAGTAGGTTAAGAATCCATAGTTTGGGATTAAAATGCTAAGCGTAGCAATTAAAGTTAATACTGTGTGTTTAATTGTTAAACCACTATATATAGCCTTATGATTGGCACATAACCCTAGGACCTCAGTTTTTGTGCTTGAGTGGCTGCTGAGTGTGGGTCTCCTTGCTGACTTGGTGTCTCCTCCACTTGCCTTCACCATTTCTTGAGCTTTGAGGCCATTTCCTTCACTTATTCTTCTCCTAAACACTTGTGGTGAGTGTGAGTGATCTTTGGGTGTGTGTTGGTGGCATTTTTCTGAGTTGAGGGTGCTGACCTTGGTGTGTGGAGCTGATGTTTTGGGTTGTTTGGGGGGGTTGGAGTCTTGTTCTTGGCTTGTGAAGCTTCAAGAAGCTTCTTTGTGAAGAAAAGACCAACCTTTGTGTTGCATTTTCATACACCTTATTTCCAGAACCTGTAGAGGCAGTGTGGTGAGCTCCATGAGCCATTGATCCTCTGTTTTGAGCTTTGGTGAGTTGTACCTACCTTGAGCTTGTGTTTTAATGGGTTAAAGGTGTGATCTTTGCATGTTTAATGGGTTAATCAAGTAACCATCTGGGGTGTGGACCTTAATCAGTATAAAGATGCATGCTTTAACGTAATTAAGTGTTAAAAATGGAACCTTGGAAGGATATCTTCACGAAATGCATTTTTTGCATTCTGTCGTGAAATATCCAGATATGTGCCCGTGAAATATCCGGATATTGGATATCCGGATATGGGATTTGGACATCCGGATATTAGATATCCGGATATGGGATTCTGGATATCTGGATATTGAATATCCTGATATGTCCAGTGAGATATCCGGATACTGCATATCCGGATATGATCCCGAGGAATATCCGGATATTCTGGGATTTCGTAGAACAGTAGTTGTGATGTGTGTACAGTAGGCTATTGGGGGTTTGTGGACCCTAGATTAAGGAAGTTGAACTTATGTAATTAATGAACTAAGTCAGGATGTTTTGTTGTGTCTGTCTTGTGTGTTTACTTCGTCGAATTTTATTATGATAATGCATATGTAATCACACTGCGTGGGCCTGATCAACTCATAATTTGTGTAACTTGTGCAGAGTCATGGTAAGGTCCGGGAGAACACGGGAGACTTCTGAGGATCAACCCGATCCTATCCTGACTGCATTGGCTGAGATGCAGGCGGCTAGGTTAACCGATCAGGAGGCCACTAGATTGGCCAACGCGACAATGATGGATGTTGTTTGCGAGGCGAACTAGATAGCTGCAGAGGAGGTTCATGAAGCGAACCGGAGGACCACTGAGGATGTCCTCGAGGAGAACAGGATGGCGAACATGACGATGATGAGAGTCATATTGGAAGAGATGAGGGCTGGTCCTGTTGTAGGCCATGCACCACCGCCACCACCGCCACCGCCGCCGCCTCCACCTAG